GCACACTGGCTTCAATTCCCAGTCCAAAAAATAAATAAATAAAAAGAGTAAGGAAAGGGGTGGGACTGAGGAATGTAGTTTATCTTGAGTAATTACCTCTAACAACCTACCATAATACAAGGTTCAATCCCCAGTACTATAAACAAGTAATTAAAAATAAAAAAGAATTACACTATTAAGTTTGGTAAAAAATGATAAGAATTAGACTAGATAACCCATAAATTAATATAGGAAAAACTTAGGCTACTATAGCACATACCAAATGCTCAATGTGTTTGTTATCATCAATACTCTTTTCAGAAATGGAGCTCCCAAGGACAACCTTGATTCACCCCACCTCACTCCCACCTCCGATAAAACTATTGTTTTGCAGTGCTGAGATTGAACCCAGGGATATACTACCACTGAGCCCTAGCCCTAGCCCTTTTTACTTTTTTCTGAGGGGTATCCTAGGTATTGAACCCAACAGTGTTTTATCACTGAGCTACATCTTCACCCTTAACTTGCAATTTTCCTGCCTCAGCCTCCTCAGTGGCTGGGATTGCTGGTATGTGCCACCACACCTAGCTTAAAACTGGTCTCAGGACCTTTATATCAGGGTACAGTGATGCATGCTTATAATCCCAGAGACTCAGGAGTCTGAAACAGGAGGATTGAAAGATCAGGAGCAGCCTCAGCAAGTTAGTAAGGTCCTTAAGCAATTTAGAGACCATCTCAAAATAAAGGTATGGCTAGGGATGTAGGTTGCTCAGTGATAAAGCACCTCTAGTTTCAATCAGTACCACAAAAAAGAAAAAAGAAAGGCAAGCTCTTAACATCTTGTTTTGTTTTTATTTATTTATGTTTTGATTTTTGCAGTGCTGGAGAATCAAATCCAGGGCCTCACTGCATGCTAGGCAAGGGTTCTACCACTGAGCTACACCCTCAGGCCAGGAGGTGGTTTTATGATACATGAATAAGTCTGACTATTCTTGATACATATTAGGTCCTTAATAGCCACTGACACACTTCCCTTGCCTGTTGGTATAATGCCTGTTTGGCTACAAAACTCAGGGACCCACAGGTCCAAAATCTTGGCATTGTTTCTGGTTCATTGCCCTCTGCTAAATAAGGCAAGACTCCAAGGAGTCTTTTTTTTTTTTTT